CGAACCATTCTTGATGAGTCTTTTTTACACATAGTTGAATGGGAGTAATCTGGGTAGTAACACTCTTCTTGTTAATCAACTCACCGGTTACGGCATAGATGGCGTAGGTTTTGGGTGTGTTGATCTCTCGCAACTTGAGTCTCTTGCAGAGGTCTCCGGATATAAAGTTTCCCGCTGACCCCGAGTCGACGATAGCTGTCACAGGGATGCAGATTTCTTGAATTTTTAAGGTCACGGGAATTGTGAGAGGTGCTGAAACATGATTATGATCCAGAACTGAGCTTACCATCATTTTCCCAGGTCTAATGGGGCAGTTAAGTCTGAAATGGCCTTTGGTACCGCAGTACATACATAGCTTTAACTCTTTCCGCCGAAGACGTTTAGCCTGGGAAATCTTGAAAGTGTCAACTTGCATTTCTTCGACTTGATTCTCGAATGTGGAACTCTTTATATTCTGTTGAGAAACAGGATGATAGGAGGACTGATCAAGGTAAAAACTCTGGTATCTTTAATACAGTATACTCGCATGGCTTGTTGAATTAATTTTTTCGATTCCTAGGTTGTCGTCATAGATGGCCAGCTGGAGGCGTAGGGCTGGATTTAATCCGCGGCGAAACACAGAAATCAGAGCTCTTTCATTCCCTCCACTGTTGGATGCTAGCGTGCGAAATTCCACAGAATACTCAGAGAGGGACCTCTTCCCTTGATGTAACTGTAAGAGCTGTTCTCCGAAAGAGGAATCATCCGAGGGTCATCCGAAAACTTCCTTGAAATGTTTCACGAATTCTTGAACTGACGCAACCACAGGTGATTCCTTCATCCATAATGCCTCAGCCCATTGTAAAGCCGCTCCTGATAGTTGTTGAATGATAAACGCTACCTTCGATCGCTCAGTAGGATAGAGTGAAGCTTGCTGTTCCAGCGCAAGTGAACACTGCAACAAGAATCCGTTGCAATCCTCCACCCGACCAGTGAATGGCGCAGGACGCGACGGGGGACTTGCAAAGCAGGTGATCGAAGAAGCGGCGCTCACGGAAGTACTCATGGGGGAAAACAGGTCTCACGGGGGGAGCGGCGACTGGTGTGGGGCTTGGAGTCACAGCAGGTTGTTTGGAATTCATCATTATCTTCACCTCGTTCTGTTGTTAGGTCAAGCCTTCTGTCAGGATTCAGACTCGGAAACAGAGGTAAGTGATGAACATAAACGTTTCTTTATTTTTAAACAAAGGTAAGTATTCAGGATTTCAGGTGTTTAGAGGTGATCTTCGGGGAGGATATGTGGCAGGAAGTAATCCAGGTGAGTAAATCCTCTTCTTAGGAATAACATAAACGATGAGACAGGACAATTACTTTCCTTTTCTCTCTTTCAGCTCTTCTTCGAGCAGACGGGGTGCAGGAAGGATTCCAGGTGAGTAGATCCTTTTTTAGTTCAGTAAATAGGAAACTAACACAGTTCAGTGATTCTTGCCTTTTCTCTTTACAGAGCATCCATTAGGTGAACGAGACTCGGGGCAGATTCCAGGACAAAGAGAACGAGAATCATGGAGCAGATCCTGGGAACATCAGAACACAGACAGAGAGGTTAGTCTTTTCAGGTGAGTATACATTACTTTTCAGCTCGTTGGATGACTCGGGGAGAAGCAAGTGGAGACTGGTTAGGGTCTTTTCCTGTTGGAGGCTTGACAAGGAGTGAACGTGAACTGGGTGCTTTTGTGCTGGCTGGGAAAGGCGTGCTGAATGGGAACAGGTGCAGGTGATTAGTAATCTGGGGACAGTGATCGCTGCGTGGTGACTTGGGAGGACTCTGATTGGCTCCTGACAAGGGCCCTATAGGTCTGCAATACATCACGTCACCGAAGTGTGGACTCTGAGGAAGTCCACAAGTTCGGAGTGTGCCATTTGGGACAGGGCCTAAGAAGAGGACATTCTTTTTCTACTACTTCTTGTTACTAGTTGCTCACTGGTTAGGAGTATTAACGGCACCTATTGTATAAGATGACGTACTAGCTGCCAAAAACCATCTGTTTTAGGGGTGTGTAGACTTTTTATATCCATTGAATAAAAATATAACAATTGTCAAAAAAATCACTCATATACTTTACTATTATTATGCATTATGAATTTTACAGCTGTACAATAAAAATATAATATGATATGTATAATAAATGAGTCAAGAATATGAATCAATATATATCATATAGATGAAAGCAATAATTATACCATATCCTTTGTCATCATAAGCCAAAAATGGTGGGATAATAATTGATCGCCTCTCCCCAACACACATGCCAAGAATGCCTTCCTCCATGCCTTTAATGAGATTGCCCTCTCTCACATATGTGTCGTATGTTGAGTTTTGGAGATGGCTGTGATGATAATTTACAGGCATTATAATAAAAAAAAACAAGAGATAGAATACAGTATATTAATATCATAATTACATACATTTAACAATTACGTACTGTACATACAGTGACCCCAGTAGGCTATGTATTTGGACAATTTCAGTATTCAGTAAAAATGTATTAATATATTTGTGTTATTTATCAAAATATCAAAACAAGTGGCATAGTGGCATTTGTTTAAAAAAATATACAAGCACACCTTTTAATCACAACATTATAGAAAATGAAAAAAATAAAATAAAAAATAACCCGAAGTATTCCCCTCAATAAAGCAAATTCCAACAATACAGAACAGCAGCTGGAGTAAGGTTTGTCTAAAGCCCCTAAAATAATTGTGGAGTGCAAGGCTGTGGGTATGGCGCTCTAGCCTGGCTGCGCCCTCCTACGCACTTCCGCTCAATTTCATTTTACTTCTGTACTACGTCTGGGATCGCTCCATATCCTTAGGTTTCCAGAAACCAATTTTTTGTAGGACCAATCAGCGAATAGAGGGAGTGGCTGAGAAAGATGACGTCGATGTAAGCGCGTCAGTTTCAATTCAGTAATGGCAGCGGAGAAAGACGTGAGAAAAGCTATTCGGTCCGTTGTTGGAAAAGAAACTGCCGAATATACAGAATTTAAAGCCGGATTGTTATCGTCTAACCTCTTGTTGCACAACTGAGGACCAAGTGAAGGAGGCAGAAAGTTTGGAAGTTTGTGCTGGGCAGCTCGTGCACGATGACCGACGGACGGTTTAGCCTGGTGTTCGCGGTGTTCGGAAGCCCCGAGTCCTGGCTGCTAAACTATTGTTGAAGATCCGCTCAGGAGTCATGTCAGTCGCTCATTTTCCCAACTGTAAATTTACTGATTCTTGTGATGAATAGAACATTTTGAGCCCCTTTGTGTTCTCGTGCAGGAGGTTGGTGTGTCAGTTTTACATGTTGTAAATCATACAAATTGGTTGTGATTTTTTAAAAATAATTGTCATAAATAAAAATGTGAAAAACCATACTTTGAAGATATTTGATTTTCAGTTTTAGATGGCAATGGTTGATTTGTTTTACTAAAAAAAATAAATGCCACATAAAAATGTACAAACACATACTTTGAAGACCATAATTAAGGTAATTAAGAAACAATAAGACGTAATATGAAAAATTGTTGTTTATTACACATCTGCAGATAGAGACAGACTGATCATTCACTGTAGCTGCTACAGCATTTGCGGCAGATCAGAAACGACCACAGCGGCGTATTTGTAATGATTAGACACAGCTTCCACCATTGAATGAATATATCACTGTCCTTCGTGTCAAATACATTTCGAATTAATAATTGTTCCTAGATTAACAAAACCTGCGGTGCTCGTTGACTGAAATCCTATTGTAAACATAATCCTCTGATCATTCGGACTTTTTTGTTTCCAGCCATTTCGGCGCGTGACATACGTCACTCACGACACCCCGTTAGCGATTGGCTATGGAAGATCGTGAGTGACTTTGGGCAGATCCAATAGATTTGAACTTTAATAGTGAACCCGCCTACAAGGAAGTAAACGTTTTTCAATGGAGCGGTTCCAGACTCTATGTGGAAATGAAATGAACTAGAGTCTGGTTGAACCAGGCTAATGGCGCTCATGGGATAGTGCAAAATGTTTTACAATACTTATGTGTTGGAGGATTAACATGTATGCATTTGGGGAAGTTAGAATGAATTGGGTGTGCCAATGGGTATACATTTTGATGTGTGCTGGACGGGCTGGTGAGAGATGATGAAGTGGGTTGGCAGGTGATGCTTATTAGTAGATTAACTGATTAGGGTTTGCTGAGTTTTACTGATGTGGAAGCGGTTCGACCTGATTAGAGATAAAACAATATGAAAATTTCATTTCAAATTTAAAAAAAAAAAAAAGAAGTGTTTTGTTAGGGTCACTTACAACATAACATATCTACTAACATGTACTTCAATGTTCAAATAAAGTTTCCAGAAAACAAAGTTTTATAAAATGATAAACCTCACATTTCAGCCTTTAAATAATTAAAAAAAAGGCAAAATGTCAAAGTATAGGTGTTTTATCTGCTCCTTAAACAACATAAGCTACCTTATTATTCGAACTGTTTGAACTGTGAGAATTTCAGAAAGCACATTACCTTATTTTCCATCTACCAGTTAACATTTTTGCATTCATCTGTACAAAAACAGTAGACTAAATTTAGACTAAATTAAAATATATGTCTACTCTCTGACAGGTAGCTCTTAAACGGAGGGAAGACTAAAAGCTAATGTCATAGCATCTTTTCTAACACAGACAGTTTCAACTTAGAGATACATTCATATAATAAATTAATTCATACATACAATTTTTCATATAATTTCTCTCTGCACTCAGTCTTCCGTCATGTTTTCACACAAAACAAAACCTGCATGAGATTGTTGCTAACTTTGCTTAATAATGTTGAACAGTATTTATCGTGAGTGTTTTCAATCCCAATAAACAAATACGATTTTAATTTGAATTAAAATATTAAATAATATAGGTTGAATATTGAAATTTGGCTTGGTATTACTTGCTTTGTTTAATGAAAAAGGAAGTGGTTTCATTGTCTATTTATTACCAGCAAATTTGAAAGGGGATGCACTTTTGATCTGGAGTTGATAGTGAGTTTAAAGCAAGAAACCGATGAAAGCTAAACTGAACATTGTGTTGAGTGTATGGGAAGTGTTGATGGAATAGTAGCCTAAGCAGAGAGTGGAGATACATTTGTTAAGTCTATGGTTAAGGGTTGTCTGGTGTCTGGGAGGGTGGGCTAGGTTCTCTAGATACCTTTAATGAGGAGGGAGTTCTGAGGTTTGCTGTGTTTTAAATTAATTTATGAAAAATTTTGATTAAGATAAATTGGATTTAGACAAGAAATGAAAAAGGAAAAGGAAAAAAAAAATCAGGAAACTGGAGGTTGTAGATGAGGTGAAATCATTTACAGTCCAGTAGGTTTAGAGGGTTCTTGGCAAGGCGGCTTGTAGAGTGGATTTGAGGGAGATGTCAAGAAGTGGTTTTAGCAGATGATTTGAGGAAAAATTAGGTACCGATGTTGGGGTTGAATTCGCCTCCGAGTTAGGGAGATTTGGTCCTCCAGAGCGGGACCGGAAGACTCGAGGAAAAGAAAATGCTAAATAAAAGGTCGGCAGAGGAGAGAAGGAACTTTGAGTTTTTAAACCGTTTAAGCTGTCTAGGAGGAGATGCAATCAAGATAATTCTGTTATAATTTTCTTGCTTGTTTGCAGATGCCACTTGGTTTGATATTTTGTATATAATGCTATGAAATTCAGACAAATGCTTTATGCACGCAGCACATACAGCAATAGCAATCATTGTTCTCTATATTTTTTTCCCCAAAAAGTCACATTTTTTATTTTGGCCCACCTGGACTCAAACACGTTTCCCACTAACAAAGATCCATTGTAATGATAACGGACAAAGTCAGTGGGCATCACTGTCCGGTTGCAATTCTGCTGTCTGTGAAGCGTGCGAATTTGCACTTTGTCTTCTTTATTCCATAAATCCAGCAAAAGCACATCAAACACCAATGTTGCGTCAGGTGGGATAACTGAACCTAGAGAGAAACACCAGTGTTAAGCTACAGGTACTGTAGTTGGGAGAACAGAACATAGAGAGAGTGTGTAAACTTAATAAAACTTCCAACATCAAGGGCCTAAAATTATAATCAAGTGGACCAATTATTAGAATTAAAGGCAAGAATTGTACAGCTTCAAAGTCATTTCGGTGGTACACAAACTCATGGTAGAGCGAAAAAACAGCAATGCTAGTTTGAGAGGAGTGCCCCCGACAAATCTTGCGAGAATCTCGACATGCTTTACGGCAATGACATATCAACATCAACATATGAACCACCTAAGACACTTGCGCACATTTCAGACGTGACACTCGACGATGGGAAAAGCAAAAAAAAAAAAAAAAAAGAGGTCAGAAGAGACTAGGAAAAGAAAAAGAGAATCTCTCTGCGTGAGGAACCGGACAAGAGTCCCACTCGGTCGGGCTTTTCACTTGTTGGCACAAGCTAAAAAGCACCACTGGATGCAACAGCGATGCTGACCCGAGGCCTCATTTATAACCGTTGCGTACCACAAAACATTCCCTGAAAGAGGCGTACGCCACTTCAGACGCGTACGCCACTTCCGACGTGATTTATAAAAACAAACTTGCCGGAAAAATGTGCGCACCTGCATGTAAACTCTGACCCATGCGTACGAACGTTTTGGAGATGGAGCAGTTTGGCGACACCGATGGTGAGCTCGAGGTAAATGTCTTTTTGGTCACTTTTAGATAGAAAATCTAAAGAAAATTATACAGAAATTATACAGAAAGATAATACAAATATAATTTCACTATCCAAACCTATCACTTGAAGCAAATATCCATCCCTTCTTAAATATCCGCGCCAGCGAGCGTGTTGGGCCGTTTAGTGAAACTGACGCAGATGAAGTAAAACCATAAATCTTCATTATAATTTCATCATAAATACAGTGCATGAATGATTACCACGCCTACTTCTTTGGTTTTCATCAACACTCCGCTGACTCCTACTGATCCTGAGCCTATGCAGCTGGGATGGATACGGATTTCTGCCACCGAACGCCAGCGCCGGATCGTCAACCGTCTCTGTCTCTACTGCGGTTCTGACAAGCACTTTGTTACCATGTAAAAGTCAGAGCTCACCAGTCACCAGTCATGAGAGAGAGACTGGTGAGCACATCCTCTCTAGACCCTCTTCCACGCTTACGCACGACGCTGCCTGTTGTTCTCCGCTGGACTAGTTCTTATGCTACCTGTTCCGCTCTGATTGACTCTGGGGCTGAGAGAAATTTTATGGACAAGGACTGGGCCTCCGGGCAGGGTATCCCCCTCGTTAGTCTTCAGGACCCTTTGTCCGTCTTCGCCCTGGATGGCAGCGTTCTCGCCCAGGTTTGCTGTACTACAGCACTGGTGAGTCTCATCCGTATCTGGCAACCACACAGAGACAATTTCTTTTTTAATTTTAATTCACCTAACACTCCTTTAGTTTTAGCCCATCCTTGGCTTACCGAACATAATCCCCATATTAATTGGTCTAAGAATTCCATACTCTCCTGGGCTCTTTCCTGCCATGTTAATTGTCTTGTGTCTGCTGTTTCTCCCGTGTCCTCTGTTACTGTCTTTCAGGAGGATCCAGGGGATTTGACCGGGGTTCCCGAGGAGTACTTCGATCTGCGGGTGGTTTTCAGACCTCCCAATCGACCCTACGACTGTAGTATAGAGCTTCTCCCGGGAACCACGCCAACACTCCCGGTCAACACTCCCGCCGTGTTCCAGACGCTCATTAAAGATGTTCTCAGGGACATGTTAAATCTGTTCGTGTTCGTTTACCTAGACGATATTCAGATTTTCTCCCCTAGTCTCCAAGTTCATGTACAGCACATTAGACAGGTCCTTCCTCTTAGAGAACCGTCTTTTTGTTAAAGCCGAGAAGTGCACTTTTCCCGACTCCGTTATCTCAGCTCAGGGGATTAGTATGGATCCTGTCAAAGTTCGTGCGGCTATTGACTGGCCTCTCCTTGAGTCTCGTGTTGCTCTTCAGCATTTTTTGGGGTTCGCAAACTTTTATCGATGCTTTATCCAGGGTTCCAGTCAGATAGCGGCTCCCCTCACTGCGAGAACTTTATCTCCCGGTGCAAATTTACGTAGTTTAGCCCCCCTGTTGTACAGCCGACTCTGTTTGTCCTGCGCCCGCAACAAATTCTCCATGGAAAGCCGCCCCAAAGTGTGGAGTTTTGTTCGCAGGTCCAGGACATACTGAATTTCATTTTTACTGTTCGAGGGTCCGTCCTCCCAAACCTCCCTGAGTACGTCCAGCACCCCCCTAGGCTGGCGCCCATAGAGAAGTTCGAAGGGAGAAAATCCCGTGGAGGCTTGGGGGACCTCGCGTACAGCGAACAAGAGGGGTTCTAACCACTTATCCCAATTTGTAGCGTCTTCCCGTACAAACTTACGAATCATGGTTTTCAATGTGCGATTAAACCGTTCTACCAAGCCGCCTGTTTGTGGGTGATAGACGCTGGTCCGGATCGATTTAATGCCCAATAATTCGTACAGTTCGCGAATTGTGCGTGACATAAACGCTGTGCCTTGATCGGTGAGAATCTCTTTCGGGATTCCCACCCGGGAGATTATCTGAAACAGTGCACTCGCAACACTTTTCGCCGAAATGTTGCGAAGCGGCACTGCTTCGGGATATCGCGTTGCATAATCCACCAGGACTAATGCAAAGCGATGTCCCTGCGCAGATCGCTCTAATGGCCCGACGAGGTCCATACCAATTCGTTCGAAGGGGACCTCTACTAGAGGAAGGGGGCTCAAAGGTGCTTTATTATGGGCCGGTGGGTTTACCAACTGACATTCCTGACAAGACGCACACCACCTGCGCACGTTCTCATAAATGCCCGGCCAGAAAAAAACGGGTCAATAGACGATTCAGAGTGGCTGTCTGCCCTAGGTGTCCCGCCATCGGATTACAATGGGCTGCCTGGAATAACATTTCCCGACGGCTTTTTGGAACTAATAACTGTGTTGTATCTTGTTTTGTCTGGGTGTCCTGAGTCACCCGATACAACCTGTCTCTAATTATGGCAAAATAGGGATACGAGAGCAGCTGATCTGGCTGAACCTGCTGTCCGTCGATGACACGGACCTGCTCAAATGCATTTTTGAGCGTGTCATCTCGGGACTGTTCCAGAGGAAAGTCATCGCGGTCCGAAAATATTGTCTTTTCGGACGTACTCGGTTCCTCTGAAACAGCCCCCGATGGTCCCAGTACAGCTTCGCTGGCCTGAACAGTCACCCTCCTCCGGCGCCTTTGTTTTCGCTCAGGAGCACCCGCATATAAATATGCCAATAAGGACTGAAACCCTGGCCAATTGGTCCCCAGAATTAGCGGGTGCCGGAGGCGCGGATTAACTGCCACCTCCACGCTATGTTTTTGTCCCCTAAATTGGATCACGACCGACACGAGGGGATACCCCACCACTCTTATCCAATGCCACTGACTGAATTGAGGTCTGGTTACAACCCGAATCCACCAAAGCCTGATACGTACCCCCCTTAATACTCACATGTATTTGGTACAGCCCAGACAGATCGGGGGCAGCCGGTGGCTTGTAGGGGACCCTGATGAAGGTGTCCACTTCCATCAGTGGACACCTATTGATGAAATGACCCGGGTCCCCACAGCGCCAGTAGGCCGGCCCAGGCCTCTCCGCCACTCCGGATGTGGGTCAAGGGGCTGGCGAGAGGAGAATGCGGGGCCAGGGACTGAAGTGGCGCCCCCAGCAGATGGCACTCCCCGGGGCGGAGCGCACGGCGCAGGAACCGGTTCAGCCGCGGGACCGGATCTCCAGCGGGACGCCGGGCGCGGTGGAACATCGCCTCGGGACCCGGGAGCAGGGACAGGGCGAGAGAGAGGGGGAGAGGAGAGAGAGAGGATGATGGTGAGGGGTCGCCGACCCCCGGGCACGCCACCAGCTGATCCTCTGACCACTTCCCAGCCGCGGCCGATCTCTCGAAGAGGTCCAAGAAGGCCTCGGGATCGTCGAGAGGTCCCATCTTGTGCAGTGTTGGGGCCACGGCCGGGACCCCCTGGCCTACCCAGCTCCGGAACTCCCATTGCCCCTGAAGGAGCGCGTCGAACCGGCGTTCTTGCTGCTATTCCATCTTCAGCAGGGCTGCCTGATGTTGTTGGTGGAGTCCCGCGAGCGCCTGGATAATCTCCGCAAACGGCGAGGACAGAAGGTTTCTGGCGGCGGCCTCTCCTTCCATCCCGGGTTTTCGGCACCAGTGTGATGAAGTTCAGGTTCAGTGTGGGTGATGGAAGGAGACAAGGGTCGGCGAATAGAGGAGCTTGTGTGTTTTTATTTTCGTATCTCTTTCCACGGCGCCTCAGCGCTCTTCACAATAAACTCTTAAAATAAAATAAAACAAACACTATAAATCAAAAACTCTTTCCCGCTGTACACAGCTTTCTCAGGTTTCCTGCAGCAAGGCTGGGTCGGGACCACCCGCCTGCAAATCATGGAGTGTCTTTGCCTGATGGACTTGCAAAAGCGCCATGGCATGCAGGGCGGAGGCGGCGTCTCCACATGCTATGTAGATATCCCTGGTCAGACCAGAGGAAAACCTACAGGCACAGGAAGGGAGTGAAGGGGCACCCCGCCAAGTGGAAGCAGTCTTCGGACACAGCTGCATCGCAACCGAACGCTCCACTGGGGGGATTCCCTCGTACCCGTGTGCAGCCCCGCTGTCCCTCGTACCCCCGCTGCAGCCCCAGGGTGGTGAGGAAGGAGGAGTGAAGTTGTCTAACAACATCTGATCCTCAGGCGGCGCCCCGAAGGAAACAACTGGAATTTCTGGGGTCTCCAAATGCTCCACCGGAAGCACAAATGGCAGCGAGTTAGTAGAGGTGTGAGAAGTCCGATAGGATCTTTCACCATCCTCATTCGCTCACCAACAGGAATCACCGAAGTAGCCACCTGCTGAACTGAACCAGCAGACGAACTAGATCGGGGATTATCTGAAGATTATCTGACTCCCCCATGTTTCAGGGTCCTCAGTCTCGAGCACAGCATCGCGAGAGTCATATTCCCGCAATGAGAACATGACTCATCCACAAATGCTGCCTCAAGCATCATTTGTGCACTAAGCCCAAGCACGAGAGGCAGTGTTTGTGGCCATCTACCTGAGGGAGAAGTCGACCACATCCAGAAACGCACGTGTGAGACGACATCCTGAAAAGGACGCGCACCCGTGATACTCTTTTAGGAGATGGAAAGTGCTCTGATGTGCCAAAGCACTGAGGGATCGCTGCGGCAGGTCACGGGGAAAACTGCAAGCCCGTGAGCTGCACTCAGTTGCGAGGATTGCTGAAGCACCATCACACCAGCAACCAGAGGACCCTCTCTCTCTCTCCCGAGATCCCAGCAAGGAACAGCAGTCAGAAACTGTGAGGCTCCGAACAAAAAAGCATCATGCAATGTTTACTTCCGCCTTTTATACCCACGCTGGTAGGCAGCTTGCGGAATGCAAATTTTGTATGACAATTTTTAGTGGCTCGTTTTTAATTCTCTCGAAGGCAATAGGCTCCCTAGCTTGATCCCAATTCCTCAGACGACACGTCGGAGTTCCCAGGATGAAAGGGAACAGGGGTTTACAGATAAGTAAATTGTGTGAAAAATACTGTTTTTTTACACATGAATCATGAACACATGTTATATTGCACACTGTAAACACAATCAAAGCTTCAAAAAACATGAAGAACAGGACCTTTAAGGCGAAAAAAAAACAAAAGACAGTGTTTACCAGCTCCCAAGACTCCATAAGCCAGGTGAGGAGGTACGGTGATCTTCCTTCGCTCGTTTACACACATGCCCTGAACTCCTTTATCCAAACCTGGAATGACTTTAGATTCCACCCCCACCTGCCCCACAAATGGAAAACCCTTATCCAGGCTGAGAGAGAGAGAGAGAGAGAGAGAGACGGACAGAGAGAGAGAATTTAAGATTACTTCATTTACAAAAACATTCAAGATATAACATTATATATATATATATATATATAACTTGCATTTTTATTAAGTTTTAAGATATAACATTTTTAGTAAAAAAAAAAAAATTCAAAGCAGCTAGAAGGAGCGCAATGGATAGAATGGAGAGATTTTGAATTTAGAAAAAAAAAAAAACCTTTTCTAATTTTTTTGTAAAATTAAAGCTGCAATCAGCATCTATAGGGCTTCAAACATTTAAGGCCTTTAACCCTCTGGGGTCGACAAACGCGCCGGTGTGTTTTGCGAAAAAATTTTCAATTAGCAGCAAAATAGACTTAAATACGCTGTCATTTTTGGTCATACAGATTTAAAACATGAAAAAATAAACTGTTAAATGTCTAATTAGATGTTTTGAAAAACATTTTCTGCTTTGAATTTCTAAAAATCACAGCTTCATCGGAATGTTATGAAACTTGGCGACTTTTATGGCATTATGTATGTGAAAACAAAAAAAATATTGAGGTCAGGATCGAGCATGCTAAGTGGTCGTAAAAAAAAAATTGACGATTTTGGTCTACGGTCAAAAATGACTGACCCAGAGGAAATGAATCAGAAATTGACAAAATATAAACATTTACCGAATTTTTTTTTCACTATTTTTTTAATGTAGCATAGTAGAAATATTGTATTTTTCTTATTTCTTTCACTGTAGCTTGTTGATTATTGCTGTTATAACTGTTGCCTTTATAACTGTTCACCATTATATGTTTCAAAGACTTGCACAAATATACATGTTCATTATCTTTACACTATATAGCATAAATATAAATATTGTATATAGTTAATATAGTAGTTTCTATTTTTCATCTTTAGCTTGTTTATTATTGCTGTTTTCTTTTTTACTGTTCACTGTTTTGCTATATTCAGTGACAAACACAAATGTTCATTATATAGACATGTTCATTAAATATTATTTTACATAGTGCTATAATTGAATGAATTGCTTGAATAATTTATAATAAATGAATAATTTTTTGTTACAAATTCTGAATAAAAAAATGGGTATAAAATTTGCTTCTTGTCAAGCTTTTCTTTCTAACACAATGTTTAAGTTTGACTGTAATCATAATGCAAAAACTAACACTTTAAATCAATATTTCTAATATATATATATATATATATATATATATATATAAAGAAAAAGCATATTTAAATATGTATTCAAATCCACCGAGAAAAAAGAAAAAGAAAAAAAAAAAGTAAAAAAGTCCAAAAACAACTGGGGAATTCACATGCCTCTCCATAGAGATGTAGATGCCATCTAATGGTTACACCATGGTCCTACTCTTTCTCTCCATACTCCCACCAGATGGTGGTAATCAGCTTAAAGGGTTAGTTCACCCAAAAATGAAAATTAAGTCATTAATTACTCACCCCCATGCTGTTCCAACCCCGTAAGACCTTCGTTCATCTTCGGAACACAAATAAAGATATTTTTTAATTTAATCTGAGAGCTGTATCACTCTTCCATTGGCTTCCTAAGGGACTGGCTCTTGACGACCCATAAAGTCATTTAAGAAAATGTTTAAATGTTCCATGTGCCTACAGTGGCTCAATTATAAGTTTATCAAGCGACGAGACTACTTTTTGTGCGAAAAAAAAACATAAATAACGGCTTTATTTGACTATTCCATTAATTCCTTATTGGCGCATGCGCGAGAACTGAGACGAGGACGATCTCCTTCGACTTGTTACCGGCTGCTCACCGCTTAGGAGTTTTACCGCCCCCTACCGTATAAGATGATGTGCTGATATAGCTGGAAGTGCAAAACTTTCTGTTTACAAGCAGAGGAAGATGCGCGCTGTACATACGCTTTTCAATTAGCGTATTTTCCGCAATACGAGGTGCACTTAAAAGCCTTTAATCTTCTCAAAAAACGACAGTGTGCCTTATTATCATCTTATACGGTAGGGGGCGGTAAAACTCCTAAGCGGTGAGCAGCCGGTAACAAGAAGTGGTCGAATGAGAACGTCCTCGTCTCAGTTCTCGCGCATGCGCCAATAAGGAAGTAATGGAATAGTCGAATAAAGCCGTTATTTAGGTTTTTTTCGCACAAAAAGTAGTCTCGTCGCTTGATAAACTTATAATTGAGCCGCTGTAGGCACATGGAACATTTAAACATTTTCTTTAATGACTTTATGGGCCGTCAAGAGCCAGTCCCTTAGGAAGCCAATGGAAGAGTGATACAGCTCTCAGATTCAATCAAAAATATCTTTATTTGTGTTCCGAAGATGAACGAAGGTCTTACGGGGTTGGAACAGCATGGGAGTGAGTAATTAATAACTTAATTTTCATTTTTGGGTGAACTAACCCTTTAAAACATTTTTTTTTGAAGGCCTAGACTCTATATTAAACGAAAATACTGCCTAAAAAATCATAGACTATATATAAATATATATATATATACACATACACACACACAATATTTTAATAATTAAAATGGCAAAAATAGACCATAAATATGAATAAATTCAATCAAATTCTCTCAAAATGCAAAATTAAAAAGAATAGATATTATAGAACAAAAATTAATTGCATTGGTTTTACTGGGATGGAGGAAGTTTCACTTCTTAGGTCTCCGGTCACTTCTGACCGGATAGGCCCAGGAAGTGACTCCGAAAGGAAGACCGTCTGAGGGGTAAGTGTCCACTTATCAAAATAAAACTTTGTGCTTTTGGTAAAAAAATAAAATAAACGGGTGTGCTTTCTGCCTCTTCGTCTCGTGAATCGTCTCGTTTCGTGAATATTATTTTCTGGAGCATGTCTCTAAACTTAAACAAAACTCTGCAAATACTATTCACCCAGACATGGCCTAAATATCTTTATAATCATTTAAATGTGTACTTTTAAATGATCTAATTCAAAACTAAAACAAATATTCTCTGTTTCTCTACTCTATATAAAAAGAGAGATGGTCAGTCGTTCTCATTTCAACTCATTATAGCTCATTAAGGCCCCATCCACACTAGTGCGTTTTCGTTTAAAAATGGGGACCTTTTGCTACGTTTGCACCTCCCGTCCAGACTAAAACAGAAAAACTAAGAAGTTTAGAAATGCTGCAGCTCCGTTTTGCGTTTTGAATCTCCGGAGGGCGTTTTAGTGTAGACGGGACAAAACGGAGGAGTTATAGAAACGCTGACGCAGAGGCTGACGCTCAGCTCTATGATTGGGTGTCATCAGTCATGACATATCCTTCCCTGATTTGTCAGCCACTGTTTACACCGGCACGCGCATGCCCAGTGTTGGTGAATGGTCACGTGATCCGCGTTTTCAGTCGTTTTAATGTGGACGGAGACCAGTTCTAATACGCAGATAAAACGCTGGTGTGGATGGAGATTATATTCGTTTTAATTCTCAGATTTTAAATAAACACGCAGTAGTGTGGACGGGGCCTAAGTGTTAAAGGGATACTCCACCGGGTTTTCATATTAAACTATGTTATTCCCTTAATTAAGACGAGCTGATGCCTCTCGTCTCAGTGCGTGCACTCTATCGCTCTGTATTGCAGCAAAACTATGTTAGCACTTAGCTTAGCCCAATGCATTAAATATGGGCCCAAAAGAGAAGCGACCAAACACTTCCTCGTTTTCCCTATTTAAACACAGTTACTCGATTAGTGTAACTCAACCTAGGCTGGTGACACAAAATAAAATGTTGTGTTTTTCTAAGCGTTTAAAATTGATGACTATATTGTATGGCGGAACCATAAAAAAGTGCTTTAGAGCACTTCAACTTGACGCAATAATACCTTCACTCGTGAAAAGTCCTCTTACCGGCTGTGTCTGTGTCTGTAGAAATGAACACTGATCTGTGGGCATTTTATTACACTCATAACACCATCGGCTGTGGCCGGAATACTAGAAAATACTACACTGCTTATATGAATTTATCTGGGTTACCTTAGAAACGGCATTTGTGTGCAGGCAAGTGTCCGCATTGGTCGAGCACCCCTCCTCCTTTAGCTCACGCCAGCGAGCAAAGCGAAAGCTGGACCAATATGTTAATCCTCGTCCTGGCTTTTAATTTGTCACTCTCCCCATTTCTTTTTTAGTTTCCTCTAATAAAACCGTTGCCTTCTTCCTTGTAGCTGTTGTTCGCCGTGACGAAAACATACGGACGGCAATCAAACGCGAGTTGAGCACTAACGTTAGATTCTGAGGAAGTTATGGGTGGTGGGGGAAGTGACGTATGCCGTAAAGCGGTCAAATTTTGTAGTTCTTTTTGTGCTCGGGTTCCTACCCGAAACTCGAAGTTACAAAGTGCAAGTAAAAGTGATACAGACACCTTCAGGAGACGGCAGACACGTCATTCAACCTATTGTAAGTCGATCTACCATCTCAATGGGTTTTGGTAATATATTATAAAGGTTGAAGAGTTCCAGAGGAACGTTGAAGAGGAAGTCTGTTATAACTTCAGCATACATTAACTGATCTTGATGAAACTTCAGCAGTGTGTTCGCTGTAAGAGGACGATCACATGGATGGGACTATTGTGAGTCAAAGTTATAGCGCCACCAACTGGCAGCAGGAAGTGTGTCATTTTCAAAATATTTTGAAATCACCCTCTAATTTTAACTCGATTTGCTTCAAACTTCATCTGTATACTGCAAATACACAGCAGATGAAGACCTGTGAATGGATTCTTGATATCTTTGAAACTGTTGCCGTGGCAACGCATCAAACTTTACCATTCTTTTAGGATGCTTTTGAGACTCTTAGCATGCTTTAAATTGCATGAAACTCGACAGACACATCACATTTATTAGCCAGTAGATATGTGAAAAGTTTCAGAAACGGGCGTGGTGAGGGCTCAGTAGCGCCACCTTTTGACAAAAGTGGGGTTGTTAGTTTTATCTACAGTTACAAAAATCGGTATGTATATTGTACTCCTCGAGCCGGACAACT